CAGATTGACGGAAGTTCTTGTGAGGGCGCATTGCATCAAGGGAAGTTTGGGCCCATCAACCCTTGCGAGAAGTAAGACAGTGAACCAACCTGACTGTTGACGCTAGTTCTTTGATGAGTTGTTGAATGGTGAAGTAATCGTTGAGAACACTATCTCGTGTTACACCCCAGGAATTTCTTTCAATAGTCATGGCATTTTCCCATTTGTGTCTTTGCCTGAGTATTCCTGGTGAAATCAGTCACATTAGAGAAATGAGCATGCACGCAAAAGTCATATACCTATATCAAGCCATATCTCTACAATCTTATTGATGAAAATGTGTGCAAATATTTTTTAAACCACACACTCATCAGTTTATAATATCCAATGTGCATCGACGCCATTTTGTGCAACAAAGCATGATGGTTACCTCGCACATTTTCATGTCCGTTAAAACAGCCATGTTAAGCCGTTTTTTTTTTTGTTTTTTGTTTTTGTTTTTTTTTCTTTGCTAAAATAGAAACACTTGTGTCCTCTCTATAAAAAAAAATGTAAAAACGGCTTTAAGCGATATTTTTCAGGGGCTGCAACGCCATCATGCGTTGTTCTATTTTTAGTCCGTTTTTGTTTTGTTTCTTTGTTTTGAATTTGTTTTTGTGCAAAATGACTTTGTTCTCTTTGATTATTTCACCTATTTTAACAACCAACTTAACGCAAAGAGTCACAGACAAAAAGCAAACAAGATGACGCGTCGTGCATCCTGAACCTTTGTTGCCTTCGATTCCTATAATTAACTGACATAATATAATGCACTGCGCTTTATCTTGAATCAATCCGTTGTCTATCTTCTAATCTTGAACGGGCCTCCTGTGGTCGAAAGTTAGCAAATGCATCATACCTATTTATATCTAAGCCTCGATTGGACGCTTCCCAATATTTGGGTAAAGTACCTTTACACCCATTTCACTTTTACTTCGATTCCTTGATGTCAACAAAGCATTGTCTTCAGTCCTAAGTATATTACCAAACAGCAGATTGGTAAGTTGAGCCTAAATAGTGCCAGTAACGAATGTCTTTACTCTGTTAAAACCCAGTAAAAAGTTAGTTTACAACAGTAAATCCTACAGACAAGAGAAGCCATTACTTGGAATACACATTTTCAGTTGCTCTTAGGCCTCGATAGCAAGTTAATTATTCTTTTGAATTTGACAAATGAGACATGCTCACATTCCTACAAATTCAAAAGAATATTTAAGACGCTGTCGAGGTCTAAGAGCAACTGAAAAGGTGTATTGAAGATCATTTTGGATTCCTTGAAATACTTTTATATCATCGTATATTCTTAATATGACTGATTTGATAGACTTATCGATTGCAAAAACAGAAGTTATAACTGTATGTAGTAGGCTGTCCAAATATAAATCTAAAGGATGCAAGCTACAATGTAGACTCAAAAACCTTCATTTCCGGCTTTCATTTTACAATGTGTTGATTCAGTGCGAATCACAAAACCGTGACATCAGCGATTCTTTCTGAGTGCATGACATCATAGCAATGTCCATCCAACAAATACTTTATTGATTGCTTTTCGTGCTAAGCATCACAAAATCAATATGAATTTTCAAGACAACTATGCTTAAGTATCGAAGTACATAAGTTTAATGCCGGTCACATTCAGTGTCACGCAACAACAGTTTCGACTAAAATCTCGAACAAAATTGAGGAATTGTATCGATTTTTTGTCCTTGAGTTGTTGTATTTGGCACGAAATTCAAGTTTCAATCGCCCTAGCGCTTGAATGTCTCAAACGTAAGTCAATTCGACATTTTCGATGCTGTGGCTATCTGTATTAGCAAGTCGAGCCTAGCATGTATTGGTGTTTCATGATATTGGGGTCCCATTTAGTCCATAAGACTAGTTTTAACATCACGTGAGGCACGAGATTGAAACGTAATATCACAGGTCCATAAATACAATTGTAGGGGGTTCATTGAAAACAATCAAAGCAATCGCGCTGTTGTGTACTTTTCTTGATCTATTTTCGTTCCGTTTTTTATGTTTGTTCGTTTTGCATTCTTGTTATTTTATTGTTTTGCATTTACTTATTGAACTGACAAAACACAACAAAAAAAATTGCGAAAAATCCGGAATGTAAGGGGTGGGCTGCCTGTGTTCAGCATCTTCATTTGTTTGTGCGCGCCCTAAAATTCTTCACTTCTGTGAGAGAAAAAAATCTTTTATCGCCATCATACCAAGCCATTTAACATTACTGTTCTATATTTTTGTACAAAATGTCTCCCTTGTCATTGATTATTTCACCTATTTTAACAACCAACTGAAGGTAAAGAGTCACAGACAAAAAACAAACAAGATGACGCGTCGTGCATACTAAACATTTATTACCTTCGATTGCTACAAAAAACAACTGACATAATGCACTGCGCTTTATCTTGAATCAATCCGTCGTCTATTCTCTAATCTTGTACGGGCTTCCTGTGGTCGAACGTTAGCAAATGCATCATACCTATTTATATCTAAGCTTCGATTGGACGCTTTCCAGTATTTGGGGAAAGTACCTTTGCACCCATTTCACTTCAACTAAATCACCAAACAGCAAATTGGTAAGTTGAGTTTACTTTGTTAAAATAGCTTTTAAAATTCAGTTTAAAACAGTTAATTCTACAGACAAGAGAAGCCATTACATTACTTGGAATTAAAGATCATTTTGGATTCCTTGACATACTTTTATATCATCGTATATTCCTAATATGACTGATTTGATATAATTATCGATAGTAAAAACAGAAGTTATAATTGTAAGTAGCATACAGGACCGCTATAAATCTAAAGGATGCAAGCTAGACTCAAAAACTTTCATTTTGCAGTGTGTCGATCACATCAAAAACCGTGACATCAGCGATTCTTGGTGATTGCATTGCGTCATAGAAATCTTCCATCTAACAAATATTTCATTGATTGTTTTGCGTGCTTAACCATCACGAAATCATTCATATGAATTTTCACGCCATAACTATGATTTTCTATCGAAATATTATAAGTCAGAAGCACTTCGCATCTGCATAAGTTTCATGCGGTCAGGTCACATCAAGTACCTGACGCAACGACACTTTGCCTAAAATTTCGAACAAAATTGAGGAATTTTATAGATTTTTCAGATATTTTCATGAATTATTGAGGCTAAATTAAAATGAAGTACTGATAGTCAATACAAATTTAAAAGTTTTATTGATAAATTTAGATATTTGAAGACTGAAGTTATTCACAATCAAGGTCACCAAACTGATTTATACGGCTCATGTTTGGTGGGCTGCAACTCGTTAACCATCTACTGCAATGCCTTCAAATTAGACTAGAATATGTACTTTTAAATGCTCTACAACACCATATATGTCAAGGAATCGAAATGTACTTTTTGAAGCTACTGTATTCGGAACGCTCAACCCTAACTTTAATACTTTCGGTTTTTAAATCGGTATCGCGTGACATCGCGTGACTGTCTGTCCAGACAGATCGTCTTCTGGTCACGCGATACGTTTGAACGAAACCTTTGTGAGCTACACTAGAGAAAACTACAAACCCGTATAGCACGTTAATTGGCATGTAATCTGACGACCCATATTTGGTTAAGAAAACAGTTTATATATCAATTCTTCAAATCACTCAAACAAAATTTTAAGCTGATCGGGAAAGCTAAACACCAGACAGAATGGACGCCCTGTGATCAGATGAAAACGTCAATGAAGTACCCATTAAACACAGATAATTAGTGCAGTTCAACAACCTCGGGTACATTTTGAATGTTTAAAACATCTTGACATTTTTGACTTCTCAGGGTTCCCCTAGAAGCCAAATCATAATGCATCTAGCCTGAGGAACAGTAATTAATACAAAAAACAACAACAACAATAAACAAACCAACAACTGCAATTATAACCAAACAATTCTTCGACTACTTCACGGTTAAAGGCATAGTACAGATAGTAAATTATTGAGAGATGGCTTGCCTCCTCTACTCTACCATGTTAATTATGCACTAGTCAATTGCAACCCACGTCTCCCGACGTCCGGGGAAATTTAACGTTTGATTGGCGTTGAGAAGACATTTTCACTGGTAATGGGGGGTATATATTCACTGTTAAAATCCCTGCTACTGTGGCCCCGCTATTTTGGTCTGGTATTTTTAAATAAAAACAAACACAAACAAAACAAAACAAACACGGACTTCAATCCAGCTCAAATTTTCTCTGAGCGACACTGGTCTAATTACGTGGGCTTCCTGTGGAAGACTATGTCTTAAAATGTCACTGGACTCTTCGTCGTCGTCGTCGTCGTGAATATTGGGCTTCAAATTGGTAGCGCCTGCGTTGCAGATGGTATGCAGTCTCAGTTTCCATGGAGATGTCAAACTAAACCAATCCGCGCTTACTTTCATTTTTGACATGTATTGTTTTGTACATCAGTGGCCTCGTGGCCTGATCGCGATATCTAGCTTCACTTTATATCTACTGTGACCTGGTTGTGGCCAAGAAAGAAGTTACTTAGAGTTCAGTTTGGTAAAAAATTATAATGTAGTAAATAATTTATATTAACCTGATTCTGTCTTGACTTATTTCAAACAAAGACTTAGCTAACTGTATCGTCAAAATGAAATATACTTGTAGCTCAATGGCGACAGCTGCTGACACATTACAGCTACAGGAAGCCCACGTAAGCGATCCATGATCGTCTAGTTTTTGTATGATCCTATAGGTTATACATTGTAATTATAAAATAAAACAAAAGAGGCGAATAAAGATTATTCTAATCCAGTAGTACTCTTTTTGCGTACTACATGAGGCTAATAACTGGTTGGAGTTAAACATGTGTACTAAGTTTCTTTTAACTTTTCATGCAAGAAAAAATAAATAAATGCAAAAACAAAAGT